CTGGAGGCATCACGCTACCTGACTTCAAACTATACTACAAGGCTACAATAAACAAAACAGCATGGTACTGGTACCAAAACAGAGATATAGACCAATGGAACAGAACAGAGTCCTCAGAAATAATACCACACATCTACAGCCATCTGATCTTTGACAAACCTGAGAGAAACAAGAAATGGGGAAAGGATTCCCTATTTAATAAATGGTGCTGGGAAAATTGGCTAGCCATAAGTAGAAAGCTGAAACTGGATCCTTTCCTTACTCCTTATACGAAAATTTAATTCAAGATGGATTAGAGACTTAAATGTTAGACCTAATACCATAAAAATCCTAGAGGAAAACCTAGGTAGTACCATTCAGGACATAGGCATGGGCAAAGACTTCATGTCTAAAACACCAAAAGCAACGGCAGCAAAAGCCAAAATTGACAAATGGGATCTCATTAAACTAAAGAGCTTCTGCACAGCAAAAGAAACTACCATCAGAGTGAACAGGCAACCTACAGAATGGGAGAAAATTTTTGCAATCTACTCATCTGACAAAGGGCTAATATCTAGAACCTACAAAGAACTCAAACAAATTTACAAGAAAAAAACAAACAACCCCATCAAAAAGTGGGCAAAGGATATGAACAGACATTTCTCAAAAGAAGACATTCATACAGCCAACAGACACATGAAAAAATGCTCATTGTCAAACCCATATTCTTAAGAAAAACAATCAAAGCTTCAAGTACATTTAGTTACCTGATGAGTCATTTAAACATTTTATAATGCAGTTTCATTCAATAGTCATTTTCTATGTGTGTTTTCTGATTGGGGTAGATTCTGATCTTGCCCCATGTAAGAGGGCTGATGTTATAACAGTAAATTATTACGCTTCAGTGTATTTTCACCAGGTAAAGAAAATGAGTTTTGTACGGTTCACTGAGGACAGTCAACCCCTTCACAATCTAGAACCTGAAGATTGGATCATCTGAAAACACTAGAGAAAGATTGCTTTGCCATCCCTACTGCAACAACACTTTGGAACTTGAACTTTGGGTTTATAATCTCACAACTGAGAAGGGTCCCTCCACACTCTTGAAACTGTGCACCCATTGGACTACTTAAGGTCCAGTTAAAAGGAAAGTCTCTCCCAGAAGAAGACTGCATCCTTGATGTGAACAGCTTTTCCCAAGGTCATGGTTCAAGACTTCTCTACTATCATGAGACTCTTATCTTTGAACTTTTTTTCTTGTTTATGCCTCTATGAATAATGGAAATAAGAAAGGAGTCTGTTTTGTGCACTTATGAGGTGTACTTTTTTTTGTAAAGGATTTTGTAGCCAACCTTATACATAGATAAAAGATGAAGGCCCAATTCAGGTGAGAAAGTTTAATGGTACATACTTTTCTTCATATTCAGTCAGAAACAGAACATTGATTTACTATTCTCACCCACATCAAGGGTTAAAGAGAATATTGCCAGAAGGCCTTCACTCTTCTAGAAGGGCATCATTTTTCCATGGTTTGGAGTAAAAGAGGCAATAACCAGAAATGTAGCCCTTATGATAGACTCTATAGCAGATTCTACTGTAAAGCCTATGGTCACACAACAGACTTTAAATTTTCTTGTGAAAGTTATGCTAAGTAACTGAATTGGTTGAACAGAAAATTAACTGTGCAGCTGGCTGGCACTGTGGCCTATGAAGAACTATATTAAATGAAGATTATAGAGATTCAGCTGTAGGATATTAACAAAAAGACTCCCTATCTAACTCATTCTTTTCTCTTTTCAATTTTAGGTGATTTGGTTTATGGGGAGTCTGAATAAGGAGCATACTCCAAACTCTTGGTATTATCCTCCCAATAGTAATAATAATAGTTTCCCTGGTGCACTGTATTTTCTCAAAGGTTCTAAATGTTTGCATTCAGCCACCTCTAGAATGTCAAACGGTCGGTCTTTACCTGAATGACAAGAGTTGAAAGAAGTATACAATCATGAGGACACTGTAACCTATGAATGAGGTGCTGAGACAGGAAACTCAAAATGATGGTAACTGAAAATGATGCTAAGGCCCTAAGTTGTGGTCACACTTTCACCTAAGTGAGAGCCTGACCAAAAAGGGAGAATTTTTAAAACAAAATTATGAGAAGCCATTGTTTTAGACTAAACTCATGCACTAGACACCAACAGACCAAATCAAACTAAAATGAAATTGGTCATGTTAACTGTGCCTAGAACAGATCAGGTTTTGTTTTTCTCCTCTAAACAGGATGTTCCAACATAAGGAGGTACCCTCTATTCAAGTCATTGTTCCTACCTTTGCAAAACTCACTGCTCTACTATTTCTCAGTGGGCTTAAAGACCAAATAAGTACACCTACGGCATTGATAGTGACATCAATGACAAGAGTTTTGTTCAATCTCTCAAAATTGAGAAAATGACCAAAAGAGGGGAATTGCTAAAGTGAAGTACATATGGCCTGAGAAGGATCTCATACATCTATATAGAAGTCCTTATTGACAAACTGGAACCTAACTTAATAGGTAGACAAAATTGAAAACCTAACTTAGGACTACTACCTGTAATGATAGCTGAGTCTTGGCCAATCCCAGCAGCCACATTTCAACCAGTCATATCCTGTTGAGTGTTCAAACTGTGTTCCAATAAGGCAAATGCCAACCTGTAACCACTCCAGTAATTCCTGTACCTCACTTCCAATTTCTGTACATCACTTTACTTTTTTGTCCATAAATTTGTTCTGACCATGATGCACCCCTAGAGTCTCTGAATCTGCTGTGATTCTGGGAGATGTCTGATTCATGAATCGTTCATTGCTCAATTAAACTCCTTTAACTTTAATTCAGCTGAAGTTTTTGTTTTAACAAAAGAAATCAAAACATGAAAATTGATGATACAATCTAACCACACTCATTTCCAATGTGTTTTCTTTATTGTTAACAAGTTGGTATGGCTCATTATCAGAGCCTATGGTACTAAAGAGTAGAAAAACTTCCTGGAGAAATTGACAGTCTGATTAAAAAGATATCAGGAAGAACTCCTTGTTAAAAAAAAATAGGTTATCTATTATTCAGTCTTAAAAGTAGAATACCTCTTTGGTTGTGTGATTGCTACTATTTATTATACAAAATGCAAATTCTCTGAAAAAGTTGGCACTTTTAGGCATAGGGATAATTTTTTTTCTTTGTCTTTTTTGTTTTGTTTTTTTCTTGCCACTGCTTTTGACTCAGTCTGTGATCTAGTTCTTTGATACTTGGTGACATATCAAAAAGATGCCAAGACTTTTTGGGAATTTTCAGCTATAAGAACCATTGTTATGTTCAATTCAAACTGGGCTCCCACTGGTGAGCCTCTTATCAATCACATCCCAGGTAGTACACCTTCAGCCTTTTTCTCCAAGGCTGCCCTTGTCCCTCCAGGCAGCCTTTTTTGATGCGCACTTTCAACAACTTAAGTTTGATTTCCTTTGGCAATATCCATTTGACCCAGGGACAATTCAAGCTTTCTCTCTCTGATGAATAAAAAAAATTCCTTGCCAATTTGCCACTAGAATTTCCTGAAAAACTAATTGGTAATTTATATGACTATTTTTCCCACCACCCCTGCTGAAATGCAACCTACCAGAACTGGGAAGGTGATAACAAAATGCATGTGTTCGATCATATTTTTTAGCATTTCTTCAGCCTTATGTATTACCAGTAGTCGCCTTATGCTTTTATACTTTAATCCTTATATATCAAAATTTCTTAGAGAACAAATGTTATATGAAAGATTATATTATTAACGTTTTATAAGTTGCATATGAGCCATATGCATACTTCTTTCTCTCTTTCCATGTATTCTTTATGATGCCTAAAATCTATAAAAATAGTACAGGACCAATGAAAATTAGCATCTAAAGCCTGGAGTCCCTAAGCCAGAAGAGTAGTTTTCAAAATTAAAACTTTTGCTGATTTTATAAATGCACCAATATTCTTGAAAACTTTATATATTTTATGAAAACTTGGCATTATATTGGTGATTATCATTACACATAGCAACACATCTCCTATACATAGAAATTTAAGATAACATGTATTTGAGTAACTTGGTTTGTAAATACCTTTTAAAAATGAATATCTTAAAAAGAATTAACACTATATATTAAAACAAAGAGACACAGTTTTATAATACATGAATTATTCAGCCACCAGCTTGGTTGGCAGTCTTTCTCAAGTAACAGTATAGCTTCATATTTAGAGAAAGATTAATGACTGAATTCTGTTAAAAACTATAGAAATGTCTTTAAATAATTGTCCATTTCGATGTACCACAATGATATTTCCACAATGATTGAGTTTACAAGTTGGATTTACAATACAATACTTCTTATTGAAAACAACTATGTGATCTTATATTATGAAACAATTATTTTCTGTTTAAAAAGTATGGTAATTTAATTAGGGTAGAAAAACAGAATGAGAAGAAAGTACAAATATATTTAAATGAATATATAAATGAATAGATAGATAGATTCAAAGCTTTCTGAGGAATATAGTTAGACTTTAAAAAATATCAAATGTGCATATTTTCTGGAGTTGAATTTTAGCAAACGAATCACATAAAGCAGATCACACTCTAATCAAAATAACAATGTATGCAGTTGGTGCTAAAGTAATTGTGCTTTTGTCATTAAAAGTAATAGCAAAAACCATTTACTTTGGCACCAAACTAATAGCTGCTAGTACTTTTGTTAGTAATTTTAATTATTTACATTTTCCTCTTGATTTTTCTTAATGCTGGTCATATCGTTTACTAAAGATATGTACTAGTTCAGTTAATGTTTCTTTAGGGGATAAAACATAGAAAGTGGGTTTATAGTCAAATATCTGAACAAAATTAGTAGTTTTTCAATACTCTTCCAGAAAATTACATGGATTCAAGCAAGATTATATATGAATGTAGGATATCCATAAATCAGTAAAAAAAAAAAAAAAAAAAAAAAAAAATTCTTACCTGCTTTTTTGTCAGTAGCTACATTTTTATTTTTCTAGTGTAGATCATTGCAGATGAAACATCACATCATTGACAAGAGTTTAAAGCTTTAACATTGTACCAGGGAAGAAAAATAGCATTTCAATCCTGGAAATGAAATAGTTCAATAATTCATAGAGTGCTAAAAATTTCTGTTATCAAACATTATATCATCAAAGTCAGTAAGTAAAATGTAAGTATAGTCCTTCCACTTTATTTAAAATACTCATGAAAATGACTTGTAGTACACCTTTTAAATCTACTCTTTTTCAACATATCATAATATAATGTTAAAAATAAGTTAACTTATTAACAAATTATAAAAAACATTTTCTCTGTAGTTTAAAAAAGTTTTATCTAATAATTGTATCATCTCAAACTTTTCATACTTTGACAACTAGCATAGTCTTTCTTTTATTACATATATTTTGCACATTCACCTGGAATTTACATTTTTTTATGAAGAGGTTCTTTTATTATGCACATTTTTAAAAAACAATTAATGGAAAATATGTATAAAACAATTAAAACAAAAATAATATTGTGAGTAAATATACATAGTGATCAATTTTCCTTTGTGTGTCAGGTTTGGAAACACCTGTCAGTCTGAATAACATTAACATTCTTAATATTAATTAATTAATTTTTCTACATATAATTGAATAACACAAGTTAGCAAAATTAAGCTTACTTTTATTAGGAAAATAAAAGCATATGACAAATAATAACTGGGTCAATTTCTCTGAGATTACATATAAAGACATTAATTTGAAAACTCATAATATTGACATCTAGAATTTGCAATATCACAGTCATAACCAAATATTTACTAAACACAATCCATTTAAGAAACCAGGCCCAAATACTCAATAAGCCCACGGACAGTGAAGTCATAAGCACTGCCACAGATAAAAGACTATAAGTAAAAGGCTAAGGGTGTCAACCAAAAGGTAATTTAATCTTTTAGCCACTCTTTGCTCTGAGTCTTAGCAATGCAAGGCCCACTCCAAAGGTAAAAGTAGAGAGTAAATTTCTACCGTTTTGGCTTTTTGTGGGGAACTTAGGTGTGGTGCCAGCCTTCAACTGGATCAATATCTCTTACCATACATAAAAATTAACTCAAGATGGACTGAAGAATTAAATGTAAGACCTAAAACTATAAAAATCACAGAGAAAAAAAGAAAAAAACTTTTCTGGACGTTGGCCTAGGCAAAAATTTATGACTAAGTCCTCGATAGCTAATTCAAGAAAACAAAAAATATACAAATAGGACCTAATTAAACTAAAAAGTTTCTGCACAACAAAAGAAATAATCAGCAAAGTACACAGATAATGTTAGGATAACATTTTCTTTCACTGTGTGCATCCAGCAAGGGCTAATATTCAGAATCTACAAGAAACTCAAACAACTAAACAAGAAAAACACTAATAACCTTATTAAAAAGTGAATAAAGGACATGAACAAACATTTCTCAATAGAATACATGTAAATGGCCAACAAACATGAAAAAAATGCTCCACATTACTAATCATCAGAGACATGAAAATTTAAACCACAATAAGATGCCATCTCACACCAATCAGAATGTTTATTATTAAAAACTCGTGTTGACAAAGATGCTGAGAGAAAGGAACCCTCATATGCTGTTGGTGGGATGGAACTTAATACAACCTCTTTGGAAAACAGTATGGAGATTTCTCGAGTAACTGAAAAGAAACTAGTGTTTGATCCAACAATCCCATTACTGAATATCTACCCAAACGGAAAGAACTCATATGAAAAAGATGCCTGCATTCAAATATTTATCATAGTACTATTCATAATAGAAAGTCATGGAATCAACCCGTGTTCATCAACAGATGATTGGATTTAGAAAAAAATATGAAACACAAACAGAAATGCACCATGGAATACTATATAGCCCTAAAAGAAAATTAAATCATGTCTTTTGCAGCAACATGGATAGAGCTGGAGGCCATTTCTCTATGTGAAATAGCTCAGAAACAGAAAGTCAAATTCCTGCTTAGAAGTGGGAGCTTAACAACGGGTCCACGTGAACATACAGAAGGGCATAACAGACACTGAAGACTCCAAAAGGTGGAAGGGTGGAAGTGAGGGTGAGAGTTGAATGATTACCTATTGGGCACAATATTCACTATTTAGGTGATGGGTATAATAAAAGCCCAGACTTTGCACTACATAATGTGTCCATGTAACAAAACTACACTTGTACCTCCTAAATCTGTAAATATTTTTTAAAGCTTCAAATGATTCCTTTAGCCTGATAGTCACATTCATGTATAGTCAGTTTCCTCCTCACTGAATATAGGCCTTGCCTATGTAACTTATAGTAGTACATTGTAAACATTATAGTGTGTGACTTCCAAGTTGAAAACATTCAAGACATTTTATTACTACTTTTATCTTGCTCCCTCTTGGAGCACTCACTCCTGTGGACACCAAGACTATGATCTGGATATCCCAGCAAATCTATGGAACTATAGAACAATCCATATGTCAAGGGATCATGACATATTTCCCACAGGAAGTACAGACTTGCCAGTCATGTGAGTGAACAATCCTGGAGCTGAATCTTCCAGCCCCATCAAGCCTTAAAATGACAGCATATCTTGCTAATACTTGGCTATAAAACCTTGAGAAATCCTGAGCAAAATCTAACCAACTAACTCCCTCCCAAATTTCTGAGCAATATAAATAGTGTGAGGTGATAAACACTTTTTATTATTTAAACCCCTATGTTTTGGAATAACTTTATACAACAGAGAATATTAATATACTAAGGTATCTCTCATCTCACTTTCCCACACAATATATTATTTTTTCATTCTCCATCATAGAACAAATGAGATAAGAATTGGGAGAATGCTAGCGAGTGGATGTGGAGGGAGGAAGTGATTTATTGACTTCATTTATAAAACATTCGAGGCAATAAACATAGACATCAAGGTCCATGGCCGCTTTACATGATGAAAAATGAAAGTTACTGCACTTTATCAGTTATAATAGTGAGAATAGTGGGAGAAATAAAAGGTTCTACCTCAGCTGAAGAGGATCTCATCAGATGAATGTCTGTCAGACTCAGTAAGTTGGAATGTATGTGATCTCCTTCAGTTATCCTTTGGGAAAAAGGGCTTGATGGACAAGATAAGGACCACCACATAACCTGTTTTTGGCGAAAATATGGATGGGACTAAATCTCTCGTAATAAAAAAAGAAAGAAAATAGGCCAAATAATGCTGTGGACAACAAGCATTATAAACTTTTCCTGAAAATAAAATCTAACTTTTGTTCTGCAGCTGACCAAAAAAAAAAAAAAAAAAGTTTGTCAGATGTAGAACAAACGTTCGATTTCTTATACACTTACTCAAACAATACTAAATGACATAAGATAGTTGAATACCATTCACAATGTTTTTGAAAAGATTATAGAGGTATCAAGAACGTACACTCAGCCATAATGTCATTTTTAAAGGAAAGTCAGAGAAATATATACATGCTTTAGGGACTCAAATAATTCAGGTCACCTACTTGAAATCAATACGTAAATACATACACCAGTAAAGTGAGCATGTGGAAAATGCAAGAACTGAAAGGTTGTAACGTAAAAGTTCAAGAAATGAGCATTATAATCACAGACATAAATGTGAGTTAAAATTATTTTTAGAACTGGATAAACAAATATGATGATATATGATAAACAACATTCTTTGAAGAAATAATATGCAGTGAAAATCACATTTTAAAAATCTGTCTTTAAATCACAAGATTGTATTATTGATGAACTGAATCAACGTGGAAAATTCAGTGGTAGAAAGGAAAATGGTATGATTTTTTGAAGTCCACATGAGCATCTATCACTGTCATAAAAACAACAAATGAGACAGTGAGGAAATGAGAAAACAATGGTTAAATTGATTAATAAAATGTTTGTTCTATATTGTGTATGTGGGAAGCTACTTTCTTATACTTAATATGATGTATGTTTTCTAAGTTAATTTCAGAGAGTAAGTTCCTCTTGTTTACCAGCACCCATTGTTTGACTCTTTAGTGCCAATTTGCTACTAAATGTTTGCATATTGAATATAAATTTTGCTAATCCTTGGTCTTCTATTGTAGCCTCCTCTTTGGAAGGTTGTGTCATAGGGTACTTATAATACCAATTGTCTCCAATCACTAAGTGTACGTGTATGTATGAAGATAAGCCCCACATTTCAAATGCCAAAAGTAGATTAAATTACTTATTAAAAATTGGCTTTGGAGTTAATTTGTAATGTGATGGCTACCAAATTGATGAGTAGTTTCTTTTAGGAATAAATTGACATATTAACTGTCCCCCAAATCTTCTTCTTCTGTTTAAAATTCCCTGGGTGAAATAATGCCTGTCCACAATTCTCCAGATCAGTTTGAGATTTGAATATTCTTTTTCTAGTGATTTATTATTTTGTATTAAAAATAAATTAAAATATTCTTCCAGATACTAATACTTTAAATCTAGGCTGTGCGTCATTTACACCTTAATGTTATTTTGCTGAAAAACCTCAATGCTCTCCCAATTGCTGGCTGAGATTGTTATTAATACTTTGGAAGAATGGGCATTTTGACCAAATAGGACTTGGGAAAATCACTATGAAACATATAGAGTGAATTTGGAAGTGAAAGCACTATTGGTGCCAATAAACAGCCAAATAATAGTAAGAACACAATGAAACTGTGAAACTGTCTTTTTGTTTTGTTTTGTTTTGTTTTTTTGCCAGACTGGAAGCATCTCAGCGTTATTAATTGGTGTATTTCTAGCAAAGAGCACAGTTGTGGCACACTGTACTTAATAGATACCAAGGACATAGCTTTGTTTCCATAGCTGCAAATTATTGAAACATAATTATTTGAAGAGAAAAGAAGCATAGGGAAATGATCAATGAAATGGTCAAAGAAATTCCCTTTATACCTCTTTATATTGTCATTTTTGTAAGTTGGGATACATTGAATGTAAGTTTTGGAGGGTGATTACTTATAGAAGTGTAGACAGACTTTGCATTTCCTCTAGAGCTTCACTTTGGCACTCACCACTAAAATTTATTTCATG